CGCCTAGCTACTATCGTCATCCACCTCGTCATCCTCGTTGTCGACAGCACAACAACCATCAGACCCGCTTTGTTCGAGCAAGGATGCGCCTCTTCTCGGAACTACCACAGGGACGAGAACCTAACGCACGCGATTGCAATGCTCGCGAAAAAGGGAAGAAAAAAAAAAGAAACACCGTCGGCGGGAGAATAGTTTGAAAATCTGGTAAACGAGTGAAGCAGAGATAACGATCGCTTCTCGATACGCATCTTCAATTAACGCATCTGGTAAACCGTGAAAGTTCGATGAACCATTAGCAAGGAGAAAAAGGAATCAAGTACGGCTATCGACAATTTATGACAAGGCAAGCTACGCGGCTGTGTATTTAGATATAGATTAGGATGCGTGCAATTATGTTAGTGCGGTGGTAAATTGCACATCGGTGGCCAACGTGATTTATCGCGTGTACCACGCGCTTTTCAGGATCAGCTTAATGATCGTTTACAGATCACTATCGACGGTTGCGTTCGGTCGAATCAACCTAGATCTATCGCGATTCTCGATCACCGAGAACTGTAGCAACGTGCGATCCAACCATCTCTATGACGCCTTTACCCACTCGCCTCGGCTACAACTTCTTTTTTTTCCTACCCCCTCCGCGCCGGTTCAAAGATCACTCTGTTTCTCGTTCAGCATTAAAATATTACACGCAATTTGTAACAAAATGAGCGCGGCAAGTGGCGAAGCATCGATCAGACATTTGTATCGGCCGCGGCCATTACACATTACACACACGTAGGCACTGTACATATGTACATATGTACTCGTACGTATCCGATGATCGTCCACGGGAATCATTAACATCTCCCAGTTGAACGATACGAGCGGAACGAAACGACTTAACAGCTTGTACGCGGGGAGCAAAACGGATAAACAACCGCGTACACTCTCTTCGGATTCATTTTTATTCCCGACCATAGACTCGTCCCACCAGAGGTCCGTTTGATTTCCGAATGATCGATGATCCTCCAATTTCCCTGACGTCGACAAATCATTTCAACCCTATCGGCGCTCTATCGTTAATTGATTTCGCGGACTCGAATCGTTAATTCAGCTCGCTCCAAGGATAATGGAGTAATTCGCAAATGATTATGGTCGTGCCCCGCGCGCACAGATTTTCATCAGACTTCTATACATAGCTACAACGAAACTCGCGTTGGATCACATCACGGTCTAGGAATTAACGTAGCTAAGTACACGCCACCTCGTAATTACCGTCCGACTTACTTACTTACTTCTTACCTTATGTACATAACGAGCAGCTCCTTTAACGCGATAATACAAAAGAAAATAGCGGACAACCTTTCCTCGAGAAAGCTGTTCGACTAATTTTCTAATCGTTCCAAGTACAACTAATAACGCAACAACAATTTCACGAGGGTTTTGACTCGTTTGTGTATCGCGTGCGGCCAGCAAATTGAATCGTAAAACGGTCTCGAGTTTTATTGCGAAAATTACCACTAACAGTGTATATTACACGAACCTCCAGCAGGACAAGCAAAATGGTACCTGATCGATACTACATACTGTATCGATCTTGCACGATGTCTCTTTTCAAATAGTTCCTCACTTCTAACGCACACGTGCGAACAAATTAATATTTTTTTCATCGACGAGAAGTCGAAACCGATTTATCGCCTGGAAGCCTAAGGAACGTTAAGAGTAATTACAGATCGAGCCAATCCAAGACTACCGAGATCCAATCATATTATTTACCAAGAGTTGTCGGGCTTTCGGTTATTCGTTGCATAATCGGATTACTCGTTCCACGTACACACAACTATACCTCTACCTGCTGAAAGATTCGATCCATTAGCGGTGTAATTGAACGTTATTGCGCGTTGACAGTAAGCTTGTAATTAAGGAACGGCCATTGGCACCGTCGCCGTACGAAAACCTCTTGATACTTGGAATTCGAATCGCGTTCCCCGATCGGGAAACCGCGCTCGCTCTAAATATACTTAATAAGAAATATTCGTTGCTGCCAACTTAATTACTTCTTACGATCAACTCTACGATAATTCGCAGAGCGTGTAGCGAGTTAGCTGGGTAATATAGAGGTAAGCGGTTCTACCCAGGCTCGAGGCTTCCTTTTCTCTTCGCATCGCCTCGCCTCGCCTCATCTCGCTTACCTTACCTATCCTTTGATCGTTCTACGCGAGTCTCTTCATTGTTGCAATTACTATCGGCCAACTTGGAACATTATACGGGCTAATTAATTCAGCTGGAAACGGTTAAACGCATGTGCGGGCGTAACCTGCATCCGGAAGGTAAATATCCAAGAAGCGTTATCGAGGGCGCTATCGCGTGAGTAGCCAGCGGCCACAAAGGACTGCCGATAATTCGTAATTGCTTGTTATTATCGTGCCGAGAAATCGAACACGTCCGAGCGTCGCCGGTTCTTGTCACAGGATGCATTGATGCGTCTATTAGCGAGAATTTGCAAGTATGATTTGCGGCAAAAACACCTTCGTCGATGTAACGCGTCGCGGTACACCGACGCGTCTCTCGATTCCATCATTCGCACGCATCAACGCACTCGCGCTGGAATAACCATCATTTCGTATAAATATATTTTATCGTTTCATCTGTACGAGCTGCCCATTAACTCACATCGTTATAAATGTACATGAATTATTACACATACATGTAACGCATTTCGTAGGTACCCATAATAGAGAAACCATCGAAACTTGTATCTGCACAATACGACATTACGTGTCTCCTAGAGAAAATCATGGAAAATTCTCGAGCGCTCGAGGTAACGCAAGATCATCGTTCTAATCTACTGTACGTCGACTCGACCATTATAACACGTCCGCGAGATACACACGCGGCCTCAATGAGTCGGCTAATTAGTTTATTACGCCGCGCTAATTTGTATGCCCATAAATCGCGATCGTAGGTAACATGGAACGCGTAATGTACTAGGCAAACGTAGCTATGGCACGTATACGTATACACCCGACTGTACAACACTGGCTCACTCTTACAGACACACACCAGGCTTATAGTAGCGTGCAAATATGACAGAAATGACTAGCAGATTTTCAAGCCACTCTCTCGGAAATCACTCCATCTAAAGCATCTAATCGAGCGTGACGCATCTAATCGGGCATTCGCGATACACAGTGAGTGCATGCGATTGCTCGGGAAGAAATAAATTAACATGGTAAATTTTCGATACGAACGATTCGATCCATCGAACCGGCAACAAGCTCCTGTTTCTCCCGTCTCTCCGTCGAGCAGTTCGAAAATTCGAAAAATTCGAAAAGGTGCAGAAACTTGGGAAAAGGTTTCTCGTCGAAAGAGAACGCTCGAGGGCTGAAGCTCGAAGGCTTCCTCTTCGCTCTCGACTTTCGTCTCTCCGACTCTCGGTCGTTTCTCCTCCCGCCGTGAAATTACAGTGTTTACGCGAATTAGATTTCGGTTTCGGTAATTTTCAGTTAATAACGAAGCGAACTGGCCAACGAACGAACGAGCATTAAGTGCGGCTTCGAGCCCATTAATGCTATTATAATGTAAAAGGCTACCTACGCGCGTTCCTCTCTCGCTCTCCTTCTCTATCTGCCGTAACACGAACCACCGATGCTACGCGTATTCGATGTTTATGGCAAAAGCCAACAAAAATGCGAGGAAACCCTTTTGCCAGCCTTAGATCTCGCTTATCGTCCGCATTACGTTCAGGCTACCTGCATTATAAACTCATTTCCGATAAATCGGCTAAAAACGACGAAAAACAGCTGCTAATCCCTCTACAGGGCCCGCTCTTCTCTTTCCTCCTCTTTCAGCCTCTTTCGTCCCCTTTCCGTATCCGCCGTGTGTTTCTCGCCTGCATCCACGGGTTTCAAAGACGTAACGTACCGGACCGCCGACAAACGAATCCGTCTGCTTTCTCGAGAATTCGACCAATTTCTTGGACGAGCGCGACTATAACAACGACACTCCGATTTCTAACGGTCCGTTCAAACGATCGAAACTGAACGTAACAACGAAATAAAAGCACACGGCAAACGAACTTGACGAAATTTATTAGGGACACTAAACCGGTTTGAAATACCTTTGCAAATTGCGGATGCGAATTATCAGTAGCAGCTTGTAAGCACGAGGTAAGATCCTTCGGTTGGTATGTCCAAGTATCGATCGCGCGTGAAAATGATTCTGGTCGTTACAAGCAAATCGAACGCTGTTACATGATCACTCACAGCATCGAACGTGCCGAAGTGTGGGCTTGTAGGGATCATTAATGCAGCAAGGTCGGTGAAAGGAATGATAGCTCTGTCCTCCTTCCTATCCCTCTGTCTCTCTGTCTCCATCTCTGCGTGTCTGCGTGGTCGTATATACAATCCGATTCAAAAATAACCGACCGATCCTCACAGGTGAACCGTCGTTTTCGAAAGGTGTAAACAACAGCTTGACAAACATGCCTTCTAATTATACAATCTCACCTTTACACCTGTCTCCACACTTTTCACGTCTCACTCGAACGTAACTCCTCTGAAAACTTCCTTCGACGTATCTTTGGAACACCTTGTATTGCACGTCAATGCGTGCGAATGTCTGATCCTGGTTCTATGAAGGTACAGTGGCTGACATTGATGTTAAGTGAACGGTTGCAATTGTCACTGTTCAATCTAACAACGATGAAAGTGCAATTTGAAAGAATGTCCGTCGGGAGATTTCAGCACGAATTATCGTCGACGGAGCTTATTAAGTAGCTACTTTTAAATTCTCTCGGAACGGAAACTGAAACCACAAGGATTTCCCTGACCATTCAGGGAATCCAATTGAAACGTGTGATAACTTAACGTAGTCACTCGAGCATACGACGCGACATGCTTCAGATTAAATCCAATCTCATTGGTAATTCTCATCTATAAATAATATTCGATCGCTTTTACATTCCACGATATAACGGGTGATTGGATAATCCACAAATAAAGTGATCTTTCTGGTCGCAGATCATTCGACGCGAGGAGGAGGAGGAGGAGGTGGTGGAGGAGGAGGCGGTGGCGGTGAGCAAGCTGTCCCGCAGACAAGTCCTGCGAGCAGCACGAGCAGCTCGAGTCAGGTGAATCAGGTGAATCAACAGGCACATCAACAATCGGTACCGCCACCTACAACGACAACACCTCAATCCACTCAGATGGGAATCTCTACGGAAGAAGTGAGAGCGGAGGAAGAGAGCAACCACCCTAGGGCAGCGCCAACCAGCCCTGAAAGCGAAACCGAGGTCGACGACTTTGCACCGAAAAGGAAACAACGCAGATATAGGACTACCTTTACCAGCTTCCAACTGGAGGAACTCGAGAAAGCTTTCTCGAGAACTCATTATCCCGACGTGTTCACCAGGTATGTTCAACGAAAGCGATACTCGCTATTTCTCGAAAGGTGTATTACTCGCGGCCCGGCCAGAATACACTTTCAGCGAATTCATGGAAAGAAGTATCGAATGTATGTACGTAGGTACACGTTCGCTATCCGAATCGTCCTTCTTGAGCGAACGGCATCTTCGTTACGGCTGATAGGGAGTCCGTGTACCTCCCGCAGGTCTAGACGATAGAGGAGGTGTTTAGTCGCGTCTGTCAGATTCCAGGCTTCCCGTGTAACGGGATCAAGATACAGCAGGAACTTGCAGAGCGAGCTATTAGTTTCCACCGAGCCGAAATATTTCGTCACGAGGCTCTCCTGCACTTTCCTCCTACGTTTATGGAACTATTATATATAGTCGTTCCTTTTTTTTTTCCTTATGGATTTCCTAACGAAACGAATTTACGATGGAACGTATATAACAGGAGGAGGTAGACCTTGAACGCAGCCGTAACAGCAATTGTTAACAAAGTGACCTCTTTCTAAAAAAAGATCTCGCATTCGAAGCTATTACTCGAGAGATAAGGTAACCTGAAATATACGACGAAACACGATATTGGTATAATTCTAGTTGAACGTAGGTGCAATAACCGACTGCAACGACGAAGCATGATAGACGAGGTTGTCCGTGGAATCCGGGAAAGCTGGCAAGATCTATCGATTCAGGGAAACAGTATACGCGATATTCCTTCCACACTAGCCATCGATCATCGCGTTTCTTCTGCTGGCGAATCGTCCTCATGCAAATTCCCCGACGTGGCGTCAAAACGATGATTTCGCTTTATTAAGTTCCCCATGGCCGGCTGAATCCAGTTGCATAGAAGTAACGTGCCGGCAACCGAGTGCAGCACAATCTATCTGGGTAGCTTTTTCTTTCGTCTCCTTCTTTTTCGCTATGCCTTCTTTCGTAGCGTGGAACACCCGGTAGGTAACTAATAGCGGTGTAATCGCTCGTAATAGGTCCGGTCCTGCGGCCACGGTATGGGTTCTCGTAATTAACGAAGATAGGAGGGGGGATGGATATGCAGAGGAGTGAGCCAGGTATAGGTATACTACCCATGGTGTGTACCATTGATAGAGGGGAACATGCGATCAAAATTCGTCACGAATTTGTACCACGAAACTTTCCAGCCTTTTCACTTGGCACAACTCTGTCCGCGAGAACACGATCGAGTTACAACGAAAACGATTATCCTGTTCGAAGGAAGGAATATTTAGCAGCCGTAACGCACGCATACTTGGAGTAAAAACTTGAAGGGCTATCTCATTATGGTCGCACCGGAGCGAACGGCCCCCGGCTTATCGAAAAATTCAAAGTCCAGACTCGCGTTTCGAGATAAAGCCTAATGTCCGTGTGGTATCCCATCGACATGTGAAATCCGTGGCTCTGCCTTTGCCTCCTCTCTTGTCCACTCTTACTTTCTTCGGAAAGTACAGCGTGTAAAGGTGGTAGTTGGAGTTAATTTTGCAATTTCCGAGGAGAACGTTTCGACTAGATCGTAGCTCGATAAAGAAATTGATCAATTTTTGTAAGGCAATTTCGCCAAGGCACGCCGCGCGTAATCTATCGTTTCCTAATCGTGGATCATTTCCTCTCCGCGTCAAGTCCTTCCATATCTTTTTGCCATTTTCATATAAATTAATCCCTCCTCCCTCCCTTCGCACACCCCCCCTCCCATCACCGAATCCAGGGATCGTTTCTTCTTCCTTCTCTCCCGATACCGTGTTGGAGTATTAATTTCACACTAATTGGATTTTATGGTCGCTTAGGTTTATTGACTAGCTGAGGCCATGCGGAGGTAAGCCTTGCTCGATCGCGATGCATATTCATTAGTTGCTTTTACAGAAGGACACGTGCGATTCGTTCTATCGAGAATTACTTGGAAACTCATTTTGCTACTCTAGCCTCTCCTCTTCTACGGAGATTTTCAGGAAAATGCAGACGTTGCTCGCAAGGGAACAGAGATGGAAACGAACGTCGATCCAATTACTTCGATCAACGAGGTCAAAGAAATCTGTACCTTACGATGAAATATCTAGATACGCGAGGATGTTGTAAGCCCTGAAACGCAGCCACTTACTTTTACGAGCTCTTAAGATCTAATTTAGATTAGAATCGTGTGGCTCGAGCTACCGTGCCTCGACTAATCATCCGACCAAACTCTCCCTACCACGCTAAATAGCTTGCTATTGGTTTTTACTTTTTTTCCTCTCCGCCCTGTCTCCCTCGCCCCCTTTTCCCCCTTTTGTTTTTATCGCGCTAACAATTCTGTGACGAAAGAGAGGGGGGGGGGGAGTGAAAAAAAGGATCTCGTAGCAGGTTTTACTTATAAAATTTATCGTTCGTTCGAAACGCGTTTGAAAAGATCCACCTGTTTCAGAGGGCAGAACACGATTCTCGGTAAATCATTCCGAAGAATACCTTTATATCCGTGTGGGGTGGGTCGGTGGTGAGTTTAATAAGGATGATTGTTTCCAGTGATCCGTGGAACGGAACCAGTTCCACGGACCTCTGGCCGCCTTCTCAATCCTGTCCTTCTTTCCTCGTCCCTACCACCGCCACAACCACTCCTCCCTTTTCTATCCCCTGTTCCGACTTGTAACTTCTCCTGTCATTAATCGACCGACCAGTCATGCTCCCGATTAGAAATGCCGCCAGCTTCTCTCTTCGTTCCGTTATTCGTTCTCTTGGCAAATGAGATTAGTGCCCCGGTGATCGCTAATTAGAACGACGTTCAAAAATCAACGCACCTAACGCTCTATAATTTTCGCTCTTTCTCTCGTTGCTAATTTCGTTACACGGCCATAATCGCCAGGGGATCCCCCCACTCTTTCGTTCTCCACTTTCTTTCTTCCCGTGTTAATCGCAGAACCGAATTTTTTTTCTTCCCGAGCTCTTCAACCCTTCTTCTCTTCCACCGTTCGCATCAACTTTGAATCTTCGAAAGGACCAAGGTTGCAGGTTGTTCCGAGATTTGTTCGATTGACGACACTGTGGCTAATGGGTAATTGGCCGTTCACGGGGTACGCCTATTAAACCACGAATTTCGCACGCTTTACCCGGTCTTCGAGACTTCGATCTGCTCGTATTTAATTCTATCGCGACGGTAACGAGTTTGCGAGACGTGAAACGCTTCGACTTGGAGAATATCGTGTTTTCCCGTTATTACGATTACGGCAAATTAATTTCCGCCCCACGCTTTCCTGAAGGAAAAGCAAGCGGCGCGCGATACCGTCGAAATCGTCGGTAATGCCATGTCATTCCTTGGGTAATTGCCGTTTCGAGCGCAACATTCTAGCAGCAGTCGAGACGTATGATTTATACCGAGATTAATGGCAAATTCCAAGGGTTGTTCGTTGACCAACCCGATCGTTAGAGCCGAGATGGATTGCATCGCATTATGCACGGATATTACCTCGTAGCTACCCAGCTTTTCTATCGTCTGTACTCGTCATAGATCTGGCGCACACGGTGCGCCTTCTTTCGCCTTAAACCACCGACAGACCGGTCTTCTTCGTCCAGGCATACACACGTGTCTCTGGCAATTTGAAAACGTTCGAATCATCGCTTGATTGATATCCGGTTACGATCACGGCTGTACAGAGAACAGAACGAAATCTTTTGCCTCTTGAATTTCCGCGAATCAGTCGAGCTAGTCGAGCACGTACAGCGACAATTCCGAGCATGTTAAACAATAATAATTAAGGTTGCGCCACAAGGGACAATCACGAACTCAGGCAACGCTCACCGACTGGCTGATTCGACCTCCGAGGTTAATTAGATAATGTAATTGTCCGGCAATTACTCGAATTACTCGCGCGCCAAGCCTATTCTATCTACAACACCGCACTCTCACTATCTTACTCTCTGCCTCTTTTTCTCGCTTCGCCTCGATCGCGTATGCGAATTATGCAAACAAGAGAGCATAGACGAGGCGAGCGAGGCCTGTATTGAAAAATTATAGTCTCAGGCGTGTACCGGTTCACCGAGGAAATACAAACGAAACGAACGGGCGTCGGATGAACGTTTCATTTCTCCTGTCGAACGCCGTAATTTTGCATTTATTCGCCATTTTCTACCTATTAGAGAGAAAAAAAACAATACACCTATAGCTAGATCGAGATGAGGTGGATAGTTGTAATCCGAAGAAGCACGAGAGAATATCGAGACGAGTGGACGGCAAAGAAGCTCGAGTTTAATCCACTTAGCGGTCACTCTTTGACAGAGACCGCTTGTTCTATCGCGATGCGATTGCGAAACCGCAGTTCCGTTCTCGCCATTGGTCCCGAAGTTAATTGCAACCGCTTGGCTGTTGCAGCAACATCGGTTCGTATTTAAGGAAACGCGAGCGTTGCGCTTTACTTCCTCTCTTATTACGTATACACACACCTCGTTCGCACGATCGCAAACGCTATTAACGCGAGTTTCAAACCGGCGACGGAGGAAGCGAGCGTTTTTACGATACAAATATACTCTGACGTCAGCTCGACGCGAGCTCGTTGAGGCCAGTGATAGATGAGCCTGTTAAAAAATTACACGGCGATAAATTGCGCAGAGGATTTGTGAAAGAAGTTGCACAAGGTTCTCGGCGATACCTCCAACACCGCGATGCGTACGTGTATGCCCGTTAAATACAACTGGAACGTGTATTCGACTAATCGTCCAGAGTCGTATACACAACTAGCACATTTCCCATGGCAAGGACATCGAAGAAGGGGAGACGCGTAATAATAACGATACGCGAATCGAGGGTAACCGAGTCGCCAGTGAACGGCGGGTGTAATTAGGGACGCCCGTCTAACCGCGAAATTTCGTGATCTTATTAAATCCAGAAGGACGTTCGTGAGTGTGCCGGAGAAAAAGGGAAAGGCTAAATTATTATTACTCGCAGGCCAAGGTGCTCTCTCGCTCTCGGATCTCCAGCCTCTTTCCAGAGATCGCCTGTCTCCAGACACCGATCTTACCTGACAAATCGATCAGATTCTTAAACAAATAATCCTTCATCATTTACATCTTATTCGGTAGTCACTTTCCTCTTCACCTAATCTCGGTAGACTCTCTATTGAGACAGGAGAAAGAGGCAAACGTGTATGTACGCGGCGTAAATGAGCGTAGTCAATTTTCGAGCGCGCTCGCCCGAAAGTCCCTGTAATTTCGAGCGGGCACTGACTGAAACGAAACACGTCGTGTATATAGGTACACTCGAATGCGCCTAAACACGAAATTGAAGCGGCGCTGATCGGAAGGGAGAAGCAGCTTCTGTGCGCGATATAATCACCGAGATTTCCTTGCGATTTCGTGGAACATCTGGGCAATTTGCGTGCGAGATGAGAAACCCCGCAGGCCGTCTAGCGAGACAGCGTGCGGGGATTCGCTTTTGCCACGGACACACCGATGTAATCGCTGGTCAATCCTTTTTCGGCCCGGCAAAAACCCTAGAAAGCGAGAAACGAAAGGCTTCCGGAGTTTATCCCGGCCGAAATCAATCTACGACACACTGTGCTCGTACCTACCGTTCCTCCGTCCTCCTCGATCATTTTTCTCCGATAATCACGTAATAGAGTTCAAGGAATCGACGCCGAAAACAAAGACGAGAAGAAAGGGAAGGGGAAAAAATATTAACCGCGGCTAGAAAAAAGGGAGACAAAGAGAGGGAACGTGTATTGTTCGTTCCACAGCGGAAGAGCTTAAGCGGTGTTCGTTATATAAACTCTCCGTTGCAACTCGGCGATTGTGATTAATAATCGTTCAATTTATTAGAGATAATGATATGCGTGGTATCGTCGATAAACAGTGTTGCACTCGTGTACCCTCGCTAAATGTGTAAGAGCCGCGATACCATCTACCTGAGCGGCAGTGAATAATTATGAAAATGTCGGTGCTAGTATGCGTTACACTCGTCACACTAATTTATGCGAATGGCAATCGAATTGAAAAGTACGCGTGTCGGAAGACATAATGCAATTAATTGATATCTTACAAACGTTCTAATTAACTTAACGAACAGTATATGATTATTTCTGTCACGTAGATGTTTTAATTCTTTTAAATGCTCGCGATACTCGTTCGCAGTACATTTAACGCCTTAATTTTCATTAGAGAATCAAATTTAATGCATGCTGCGTGCTCGCAATTCACAACACGCTACAACACTTATGCAGTAACTCGTTAACTTTGTAATCTGTTTTCTACTTTCAGGGAGGAACTCGCAATGAAAATTGGTCTTACGGAAGCACGAATACAGGTTAGTAAAATCACAATTTCGATATGTTCCTTGTGTGTGTGTGTGTGTGTATAAAAAAGTGTCGAAAGACAAAGTTGTTTGTCGATAAAACACTCACCGAACTTCTGGTGTACCGCTGCAGCGTTCCCATGCACCGCCACACTGTCTTCCTCCTTCCGTTCCTCATCATCGACGATTCCCACCCTTGTTATCACGCACACGCACGTAGTACACACTCTGCCATCGTCTCTAAACCCATAGAAACACATTTTCTATTATTTTTATACGCCTAATATTGAAACTAAACGCGATATATTCCGCGACCCAACCCACCAGACCACCAAATTCGTACTGAAACAAACAATCGAACGGACGCAAAGGACAAATTTTGTCGAGGAAGGGGGGACTGACCTATCGGTCACTGGCTGTAGTCAATTTTCGAATAACTTTCAAGACATTGTTTATGTTCGTACGAGTACTGCCTACACCCTGCGCAGCAGTACTTGCAAAATATGTTTACGTTTTCCAAGTACGAGATCCGAAACAAGGAAAATATCTCTCGCCGGAATCAAATCACGTGCCAACAACGTACGCGTACACGTGATTTCTCAGAAGAAAAAAAAAACGTTACATTGTGTATCGTCGCGTTGTACGGCTTGGTACCAGCGGAAAAACGTGGCGAGATCGAGCCATCGAGGAGAAGAGTGAATTTTCTGCGTGAAAAACCAACTAATTCCCTCGCAATCGGTTAATCTCATCTACTAACTCGATCGTTCCTACGTTTCTTACCACCGTTTCCTCCACTTTTCGTCGTGTACCAAGTTCATCCCTCTCGCTCCGCGATCGTCCATGCTAATTTTCATTATACTTGCAAATACATCGCCATCCGCCGCAAATCGACGATTTATCCGGATCTTTTAAGGTTATTACACGAGCACACGCCACGAGGAACACCGTTTAACTGAATGACACGGTACCGAAGACGCGCAACGTGCTAAATATTTTCAGGAATTCACAGGTCCGACGAGACTCGCGATTCAAACGTACACGCATGCCTTTCGAATATGTATTTCGGTTAGGCCAACTTCCTTCGTTTGCGGGGCAGTAACGTTAATCAAACATTTCCGAATACGTCGAGAATTAATTCCTAGTTTGTCTACTCCAGTAAAATATAATTGTTCGAAGAAGAGGAGGAGGAGAATTATTCGTTTGAGGAAGTGTAC